CTAGTGAGCCAATTGAGGCACTCCTGATTGGCCAGACCATGTAGGGGACCAGCAAGACCACAGACACCAGCCGCCCAAGCATAGAAGGGGTCGGCCAGAGCTGACCCAACCAGATGGGTCGTATGGGAGGAGACGTTACCACCCTCGTGGTCAGCATGCATGGTCAAATACAACCGAGTGGCCTCCTTGAAATTCTCGTCCTCAGATACTCCCAGCATATTGGCAAAGTTGCCAGCCCAGTCCAGATGGGGATCAGTCTCAATGAAAATGCTGTTATAGAAAGACCTCCGATACACCCGAGCTGCCACCTGCGGAACACGGGCAATCAACGTAATGGCGTCATCTAGAATGTACTCCCAATAGTCCTTCTTAGCCAAGCCTCCTTGACGGTACTTCTGCGTGAACTGGGAGTAGGGTTGCATGGCCAGAATTCCAATGGACAGTTGAGTCATAGGGTGCATGGAAGTGGGCAAGGCGTCGATAACTTCAATAACATCACCAGGTAGCCAACTACGCCGATGCAATTCCTCGTTCAGATGAGATACGACCTCAGGGGTGGGGACCTCGCCAGTCATCAGCAGCCAGAAGGCTCCTTCAGGCAGGCCGACCTTGCCATTGGGAGGGGCCTTAGGGAGAGCCTCGTTCACCTCCTTGAGGGTCATACCACGGTAACGGATGCCCTCAACGGGGTCCAAGTCGGAGGTGTCGGTGATCATAGCCTTGATGCCACGCATGCCGCCCACGACCATACCAGCAGTGATGTCACCAACAACGACGTTTTTATGCTTTTTCTTCAACTCGAGGAGGCGAGGTTGTTCCCGAGCCACCAGGTGCTCCACCTTAGTCTTCAACTCTTGGATCACAGGACTTGCGTGATGGTAAAAACGAGAACCCAAAACGACGACGCCGCCGATTCTGGGAGATAGAAAGTGTCTTGATAACATATTGTAGGAACTCAAAATCCTACTATTGATCATTCACTCGGTGCCCCTCGGTACTTTCAAGTCGAGTTTAGATCGATTCTGCTGGCCATTGGAGCACCTCCCCCCCTTCCCCACACAGTCGAGTCATTCATTGCCAGGTGACACGTGAAGACACTCGGATGTGATACTTACCAGATCGGGTTTACAAACAGCCAAGGAATTACAACCTCAACAATTTTTAATAGGGCACACACCTCGAGCAAAATTCGGTTCTTGCAAACCACCCAAGTTCGAGCCCCGGCACCGGTATTTTCACCATCGATTCTCTCCCTCCTAGCGGCCATTGACCCACCCTGAAATGAAGGTGGCCGAGCCTTCCAAATCGAGTATCGATGATGACGTGGACGTAGATGGGTCCGATGACAAGATTGACGAGGAGTAAGCCGCTCCCTATCGTGGGAGTACTGGTAGTAGGAACTCAGGTTCAACATATGGAAGAAAAACACGCCATTTCTCTACGACACGGTCATCTCTCACACTATGGAGTGGCCCTCGTTGACCGTCGAATGGCTCCCTGTCAAACCGTAAGTGAACAGCCTTTTGGGACGGTTCACGACGGTCTACCCATAGGGCCTTCGATAAGGCCAGCGACTACTCCACCCACAAAATGATCCTTGGCACGCACACTTCCAATGGGGATCAGAATTACCTTATGATAGGGCAAGTGAAGGTCCCACAGCAGTCCAAGGAAGAGGTAGACATCGACAAGTACATTGAGACTCCTGGTAATACTATCGTCGGGTGAAGGGCCCCTACTGAGGACCCCTTAGAGTCTGGGGCTGCTTTGGCCGCTAGTAAGGACCGCATGTGTATATCCACCAAGATTAATCACCCCGGGGAAGTGAACAGGGCCAAGTAGGGTTCCCCCCCGAATCCTCCCGTCCCATCGCCCACTAGGTACTGTCCCCAAAATCCTTTCATCATCGCCACTTTGACCAACACCGGCAACAGTAAGCTCAGTGCTTTCGTAACCCCACAGTGGGCCCTCATCTTAGTATTACTTTTTGACTACTCTAAGCATCCTTGCCATCCCAAGAAGGAGGGCGTCATAGACTCCCTATGCACCCTTGAGGGCCACACCGCTGAGGGGTACTCCTCCTCCCCACA